TTGAGCTCACCGACTTCTTTGTTTACGTAAATCTTCCAACTTGTGCCGCCTCCTCCACTCACCCCCCCCCCTTTATCTGAACCCTAATGAGATATCAAAGTAATAGAGTTGTGAAGCTATTCTGAGAGATCTTCTGTAATAAGGTGCATACAACGGTCTTAACCCTTTTCTTTACACACAATCAAGTGCATTTTCCGAGCTACTGCTGTTACAATTTCTCCTTAATGAAAGGTGGATTTGCGTTGATCCTGTTGACAATTTTTCGTTAAGGTTATTTCCGTGTTGTACGTGGAATAAACAATTGCGACATCGAAGGAGGAGTACTAGCTGGAACTTTCTAAGCATTGAAATGTGATTTTTCGTAACTAGCTGTATATGGAATGAATAGTTTTGATAAACTATCATAAACACAAATTGATTGTCTGTGTTTGAGTCAGTTCGATCAAATTCTTCATGGTCGGCATTTATTAAAGCAGTTGGAATACGATGTCAGTGTACTGATGCCACTAAAGCGGTCATGTGATAGTGAGACTCATAACAAGCTAGAAGACATCGTTGAAAGTACACTGCCAGGAAACTCTTCCGTTGTTCCTAAAGCGGAGATAGGAAGAAGGCAATTGATGATTCGAAGCAGTAAACAACAGCTCACTACTTCTAAATTACTCCCAGCTTCATTTTTGTCAACGTGGTTGGAAAGTTTTTGATAAGATCTCTCAAGTTATGGATACCCTTTGAACTGCACTGTGTATGCGATTGGTTTTCAAGTGAATCAGACTGCTTCAACTAAATCAAATTACTCCAGCTTCAATTACGGTGATACATTGAAGTGATCCACGTTCAGTGCAACCTCAGAAAAGCCTACCACCCCTGAAATACAGTAGATAAATAGTAATAGTTGTTTTTNTTTTTCACATAATAAATACATGGTGACTCTAGAAAATATTACCGCTCACCTGTTATACCTCGACTCTCGATGGCAGGCACGTTGGGAAATCATTAGGTCGATAAGCTCTTGGAGGAAAGTCACGTAGTGTTCCAACGGTTCGCAAAACGACCAGACTTCCAGCCCCTCATCTTTCATTTTCGGCTGTGCTTAGAGCATCATTGAACATCATGATTTTGCCTCTAATAGTCTCTTCAAGTCTCAAGATAAAGCCTATTCCATTAAAGAAAAGGTTCACGAACCATTTTTGATCTCTCACTATCATCCTTGAATGCAGGCTTATGGTACTTTGAACTGACTTATTCAGTGGAAGAGACGACGTCTCTTCGAGGTGCAGTCATTTCGCGACAGTCGAACTCCACTTAGGCAAGGTGTACGGTAGGTGGCGGCGTGCAAAAACCGCTCGAGACCGTGAGAGTGTCACCACTTTCGGAATCCCGCAGCATTCTTAACAGTAGTGACGGGAGGTACAGCTTCAAAACTCGTACGATTCCCTATCTTGTTTCGGGATGATGACTGAGTGGTGACTCTTGGTTCAGACTTTTTCATGCTTGCGGCAGCAAACATTTTGTCGAAACCGGTAAACCGAATGGAAGGCTCTGGAGTGAACCTTGCGTTTGGTAAGCTTATCTATGGCAAGGCTTCAGCAGCATGAGTGTTCTTGCAATTAGTGATAGCACTCAAGAAAACACTGCCACGTAACCAGTATGCTTTCTTACAATTGGGAATTTGCGATCTCAGCACGAAAAAACTCCCCTCTGCGATGCATGTGCTTCCTGATAAACCTCTGATTGAAGATAACAGGTGTCCATTTTCTCGTCCATTCTTCAAATTGCTTATATTCCTATTAACGAGTAACTCACCGTACACACAGTTAGACCACAGCACTGAAAATGTTGGTAAGTCTCTAGCATTTAGTTCTCCGTTGGCTTCATGAACCTTTCAATAAGTGGAATACCGCACACCAAAACTCAACACATTGTTGGACTTTCAAAAAGTAGTCTCGGGCGAGAATGTTTCTTAGGTGGTCACAATTCCTTTAAAAGCAAATCACCGTTGAGCAGAATTAAAAAAATCCAAAAAAATAGACTGCATCTCACATCGGTATGAGCTACTGTATTTATTATACAACTTTCAAACTCCTCCATTTTTAAGAAAACCCACTACAAAAGAATAGATGTTAGCCGTCGTGTCTGAAATGGTATACTTTGTTGATTCCCTGAGCAGGGAAAGGGATGGTTCTGAAGAAAGTGGGCGTCGAGGTTGCTTCTAGTGCCTGCTCGTCGTTGGAACTGTAGCTTTTAGTGCCTGGATGCTAGTGTATTACACAAAATGAGAATTACTCAGAACGTGTTATATCGACAATGATGTGGTTGGTGAGAAGAACTACGACCGAAGCCCGAAAATTTTCCTATTTTCTTGACTACTAAAACGATGTGCACGCCTAATGAGTGTATGTGTACTCGTCCCTTGTCTGTCTGGTGCTCACGACGACGAGTTATGTCAATCTCTATATTTCGGAAAGGATATCATCGACCTCCGTCATCCCATGCCGGGGAAATAGCCATAGTAAGCAGTACTTGTAGCTTACACGTATCTCTGATCATCACCCTGATGAAGGTTCGGTCGACATTAGGAAATGATTCTACCTCCTCTTCAGCTCCATTAATCGTCCACTTGTCGGTAAATTCTTTAGATGTACTACTGACTTCTTATCCATTGTCATAGTATCGAAAATCCAGTTCAAGCAAAATGATCGGAGGTGATTCCTGCGTCGCTATACGCTCCTCAGGCCGATTCGTTTAGCTATATACGTTAATGTACTGGTCTGCTTCATGCGCTTTGTAGCCAGTGTCAGTGAAGCTCAAACAGCAAGTAGGCTACCACGCTATCTTCGATCACTTTGAAAATGCTACAATCGAAACGTTCAATGAATTTGGACTGAACTGGATGAATGTCCCTTAACGATTCCAGAATATCATTTTTACTGAAGCAATTGTGAATTACAATGTTTTAAAAGATCTCCTTGCACCCCCAATATTTGGCAAAAAAGGATCCCTATAAATAAAAAAATAGATAAATAAACGTAGACAGAGTTAGCGACACTGAGAGACCATTTTTTCAATAAGTTTGAAAGAACAATTAGAAACCGTCACATGTTATCTTAAGAAGTGAGGCTTTTCTCATTTATGTTATTCATTGCGAATAATCGCACAAAACCACCTGAAAACCCATTTTTCCATCTCTCATCTCAAAAATTTCCATCTCAAAGATTAGTGGTGCAGCTTTCAGTTCTCCGTGATATCGCATCGAACTTGAGCTTTTTCTTGAGAAAGAAAATAATCAACTGAGAACGTTCTACACCGCACATTATAAGTGCCTTTTTTCTCAATCATTCCCTAAATGGTGAAAGAGAGTGGAATCTAAGTTTCTCAATTCAGGTTCTTCTCGCATTTTCCTTTCTCCTCGTTATCCATTCTTCTTACGCAACACTCACAATAGGTAAGGTTTTATGAGCTATTTCAATACTTGTTGTTATAAAGCCCTTTGTTCCTCTCTATGATTTGTTTGGTATTTTGTTATCCACACCTGTCTCAGTCATCCTTATTTGACAGTAATTTCAGTTTTTCAGCTTCTGTAGATAAAAGTGGGAACACTAATCTCCTATCAAACTCACTTCCAAGTACAATAACTTACAATTAGTTAGCTGGTAGGCGCCATAGCAGTAAAATGCAAATTAGTACCATACTAAGACGACTGATCGAAAAAATTATGACCCTTTCCTGCGAAAAAAAAATCCTTCTGACCGATTTCTTCTAATGGCTCTGTGGTTTCTTCCCGGGAGAGTGACCAAGCAGAACATAGGTGCAGGAGGAAATGTTACCCAGGGTAAAGCTAAGAACATCAAATCACGCCCAACCGTCAAACACGGCTGAACCGAACCTTTTGACTTTTTAGCCAGTGCTTCAAAAAGAAAAAGCTTAGCAGCGCAAAAAATCGAAATACGCCGCTCTACCTTTACGATCTGTATGTTTGAAAAATGAATGGTTGTTATCAAAAACTATCTTGTGGAATAGAGCGGCCAAGAGGAAGGCCCCGTTCAAAGGTGGGCCACCCTCCAAGCGCGGTGGGTCATGCTGACCTACTCACAGGCGGGAGGCAAGCCCAGGTGGGTACGGTAACTAAATGACGTCTCTGGCCTACCCGCCTGAGGCATGACCCACCCGCTATATAAGGTGGGGGGAAAACACACTCGCCAAGATTCGTCCGTCGAGTAGCCGCCGGACTCCTCCACCAAGCAGCAGTCAGCCGCCTCCGCCTCCACGACTCCAGAAGCCGCCACCTGCACGACTCCAAAAGGCGCCACCTGCACGTCTCCAAAAGCCGCCACCTTCACGACTCCAGAGCCGCCACCTCGACTCCAGAGCCGCCACCTCCACGACCCACACAACAGCACCGCGCCGGATTTTCGTCGTTTTGTCAGTTTATTTTGTTGTCGTTTTTCAGATAAACTTTTAAAATCGCTGTGTTCTATAGCAGAGAAGGGGTCAACGAAGTCCTTAATCCAGTGACCACCCTAGTCACTGGTCGTACAATCTACAGAAAAGGGCATTTGCATCCTCTTGGATGTAGTTTCTTCACTGGAATTCTATTGTGAAGCATTTTTAAGTTAAGCCATAAAATTATTTTATAGTAAGTCGTTTGTATTGTGACTCAATTTCTAATCATGCAAAGACTCACTCAGATGAATAACTTTATTTCACAATCCCTGCGAAAACGACCGCATTCTTTTCCAGAAGAATTCCTTTCTAAATCAATTCCTAAGGAAGCTGAAGAGTTGGCAGGTGAAGCACTGGTGGAGTATGTAAACAATCAGCAACCGTTTTTCCAGGTATCGAGTCCTCCTCATAAAGAATTTGAATTTAGGGGATATCTTGCTAACGGTATAATCGAAAAGCGTGGAAAATTTGGGCTATTTATGGAGAGTTCCTGGCTCAGTAGGACCCCGAGAATGTCGAAACCCTCAAATCTTATGAAGCTCTTTCGTTTGCTTCCTCTTACGACCATTTCAGCAGCAGCCGTTTCTTTGAGATTACCTGAATTTGCATTGTTTCCTTCTCAAAAATTCCGATTCTTGATACCTTTTTATTTGCTCCGGGCTTACAATGATCCCACTCACTACCAGGCCCTTGAGCTTTCCGAAGGCATTTAATTTATCTTCTCGAAGAAATCCTTCCATTTTCCGAACGCGTGCGTGTTCGAGTGAGATAGTATGAAGTGGTTATACATTAGTGTTATTCTACATTCACAAAGCAACATTTATCAGGTTCTTTCTCTATTTTCGGAGTTTTTTTTTCAGGCTGAGTATTCTGCACAAGCAGAACAGCGCATGCAGCATTTGATGAGAATGGAATTTGACGAAAAACATGAGCAAAATGCCGGATTATCAAAGGAAGCAGATCCAGTAAGGAATGACTTCGACTACGATATTCCCGAAAGGTGACTGATGTGATTAGCCAATTAGTCACCAACATGTCGGCAAATAGCTGTACTTTTCAAACTGATAACAAGAAACGAATCACTGAAAGTTATCCGATTACGAATTGAACTGTGTCTCTCTTATGTACACAGCCCCTAGAATGGTGGAGGCCCACCCCAGAATTGTGCGGAGGGGTTGGAAAAATCAAAACAGGAATTATAGATGCCTATACAGAACGAACGGATACCAAAGGAAGTTTTGGATTCATAACTTCACTTCACGATTCGCCGAGATTAGGCGATTCTGCTTCAGCCTAGGCTACCCCAGAATTCACTTTTCATTCATTCGGCTAGAGCCATCAAATTTGTTATGGAGAACTCTTCTACTGCTCTGCTTTTTCGACAACTCAGCAAACTCACACATTATGAATGACGAGGTAAAAGACCGAGCACACTCGTCTGCCCTAGTGGAAAGCTCCAAGAATGACAGTATTCTAGCGTCGCTTCACATGGGGATCAGAGGGGGAAGATTTGTGGACACTCACGTTTGACTCCTATACCATAAAAAGGAGATCTATAGGTAAAACCATGATTCGGGTGATGTGAAGGGAAGTTCGGTCACGGAACAGAATACCTTTTACGACAATGCTTTTAACTTGGTTAGCCAACATTGCGTGCACTTGAGCCAATCCAACCGTAGGTCAGGAAACTTATGGTATCTTTCAATTCCAGAAAACAAAATAAACCTTTGAAGGTTGGGCATACGAGAAAGCGAAAGATTCACTAGCAATTTGATGTGAACTCCCTAAAGAATTCTGTCAATTTTTCTGTTTAGTTTCGACTCTCGGCAGAAGTGGAAGGACTGTCCATCTATAAGAGACATTCGTGATCAATCAAATTGTGGTACGATATGTATTTTTCTTCTTCTGTATTGAGAAGTTTACTGCGTTCCAACTCTCTTGCTTGAGCTTTATTTCTTGGAGACATTGTATGCTTGATATTATAGCACGAATAGGCACAGGTACAACTTGTTTAAACGTTCTCGAGCCTTCTGTCACGTATCCGACGTTCCTATCCTCTGAAATCAATCCTGGGACTTCTGGAAGATGTAGAACCTGAATGGCTTGGTTAACTTTGAGCTCTTGAATCCGCGTGTATAACGTACTGCGCCTGGCTTCATGCTTAAAAAGCTCCATTCTACTGAGAACGCACAAGAAGGTGAATCTCCGCTTATATCGCTGAACAGGTAAACGAAGGACTAGATTAGGACCAGTGCACACCTTTTTTCCTTCTTCATGGCCTGGTACATTTTGTAGTCTTATGACACTTAATAAGACCGCATTCTACCAGCTATACCTGCTTTACAAAGTTATACTGCTACAATGTCTAATCGACATCGATAAGATTCCATTTCGAGCCTGCCTCAACATAACTCATTTTAGGCTCATGCTGGGCCGTCTCAGCTGCAGAAACAATGTCGGATCGCGTGTGCATCCATACGAAAGGAAAAATAAAGGTTAGTCAACAGATTGGTAGAAATAAGAGTGAGTAACGACTTTCCGAGAGGTTCATGCAGCAGTTCTGCTGATGCTTCGAATTGGGGAGGAAATTGAAAAACAGCTCCCGATGGAGCATCTACTATTAGCAGTCTGTATTTAAATGCAGCCCTAATTTAATTTCCTGATGCACCCATTGCTGAGCAGTTTATTTCATTCGTCAACTTCCTGATTTTAGCTGCGGTTAAATGGTAATATTGAGCAATAACATGTGAAAAAGTTTTGCCATCATGTTCAGGGTTTTTGGTCGCTCAGTGGGCCTCATTTTAGAGTTGTTTTAGCATTTTAATACGGCGTTTATGGAAATGATTCGCGGAATCCACTCATGGCAGCTCTTTTGTGCTCTAAAGCGAGCCTGTCACCAACTACATTATTACCTTCGAGACTATGGAAAGTCCGTTTAGTTCATTCGACTGTCAAACCAAGATATGATCTTTAAACCAAGTGGGAATCCGTGAAAATAACTTACAAATATCTTGGCAAAAGTCATTATTTCTCTAAGCCCTTAAGAAGGCGAAGGCAAGCATAGTGTAAGGGATAGAGCACGGTGCCCGGAAAGGACAAGTACGGGTTCGAGTCCCGTCCGAGACTGAAGTTTTGTCCATAAATCGCCAACCTTGTGAGACTTTCGGAAAGATCATTACAATTTCAGGCAAGGCTTTCTGACACTGATATACTCTCGTGCTGCGGAGACTTCTGCGGAGCAGGGTAAGTTTATTTATGAATTGTGACGTTACTACTTCAAACAACCATCAACATATCCCCTTCGATTAATTTTTTAAAAATGTTACTGTAGATTTATATCGCTTTTCGACATTCATGGGTTGAATTACAGATGTGAAGGAGGGATCTCTGCTCGAGCGTGGCTTTACGCCATGCAATACGGTGTATGCACTGGTGGATACTATGAACAGGAGGTAGATGTAACGAACAGTTTGAGCGTAATGGTCGTGAATAAATCGCTGCTTAGCCGCAGTGTGCTTACAACCATTCCATTCTGCACTACTGTTGTTTTCTGAAATAACTGAGATAGGAATATCACAAAAACCACCTCTTGCAGGGTGTCTGCAAACCGTACGTGTTCCATCCATGTGGAAACCACCCTGGCCAAAAATACTATGGCAGATGTCCAGACGATCGTTCATTCAAGACGCCGGTGTGCAAGCAGTACTGTCAGTATGGATATGGAAAACGTTATAAGCTCGATAAAGTCTTCGGTATGTCTAAAATTATGGATCTTGGACATTCCTTCCCCATTTTGATGTAACCGTATGCAATTTGCTCAGTTATTAGTGATTTTGGTAAGGGTCACAAAAGTTCATCCTGGGCACAGGCTCAGTAGCCTACAAACGGTCAGAGAGTGAATGACTACGGTGAACCCTAAGAAACTTTAGTCACTACTCCATTGTTAGCAAGGATTGCTCGATTATATAGGATAGGTTTTTTGTTTGCAGCTCAGAAAAAAGGTCTTAAGGGTTAAGGTAGTGTTTTAAAAGAGCTTCGCATATGTACGTTCGACCATCGGATTACCAATACTATAGGAATTTCCGCTACATCTGTATTATGAGCGATGAGTATATCAATTACGTAGTTTTGCTTGCTTTCTCGGTCTTTTCTCACTTATCTTTAATGACACAGCTCACGATAATTTTGGGGCATCTAGTCTTACACAAGTAATGGAAGTGGTATTACAGAATAAAGAAAAATTGGCGAAGAAAACGCGGAAATCGGCGTATTTTGAGAAATATAATACTCAAAAAAGAAGTGAAATAAGGAGCTGGACGAGATTGTGACGATAGAAGTTGCATGGAAGGGATAAATGTATATGTTGTTCAAATGAGCGCGCCATTGCATCGGCTGGCTGCAATAAGATGCCTGAGTGCGAGAGATGGGTCCCAGTGCGATTCGTGCAGCCTCTACAGCTTTCGCAAGAACTCGTCAGCCTTGGTGTGTTTGTCGGCTAAA